TTTTTAAATGGGGGGGGGGGGGTTGAAATTTCAAATTGCCAAACAGTTCGTAACAGCTGGCGGGTCTGGTGAAATATTGCTATACAAAAAAAATTCTTTTTTGTTCTAATGTTTCAAAGACGGGGGGGGGGGGGGGGGGCAGACCCGCTTGAATCGAATAAGACACCATGGTTCAACAAATGATTACGATTTTTTTTCGACTTTCCACTGCGGAATAAATATAAAAATTATATCTTATCACAATATTTTTGGAAAAGTACATGAATAGTCTAAGTCAGAAAAGGGTTAACATGAGATAATGTGATAAGAGGGTTACACACCCGGCAGCAACGCGAATTCATAAATCTCAGCGTATTTTTTGCAAAAAAATCGCTTCATTCTAGAGAATGAACCATGCGATTCACTTCAGTCGTAGGTTGCATGGCCGAGACCGCACGCCTTTATGTTAGTTTTTGAGTCTTTTTATTAGAATGCTAATTAAAACAGGGATGGGCATTGTTTTGTTGAGCAAAGCATGCAGAAAATCTTTTATATCACATCAAGAAAAATGGCTGTTTTTTTAGTTACTATTATAGGTAAAAGTTAAGATTTGAAATAGGACATAGTAAAAAAATTATTATTATTTTAGCAATTCGTAGTTTTGTTATTAAATAATGTTTAAAAAAGAATCTAAATTTTGTATTTAGTTGCAAGAAAATTCACAACTCTCTTCAAGAGGAGGGGGTTAAGGGATGCGCAAAATGCTTTGGCGGGCTGCATGGGAACCGTAGTTTGCCCAATCCCGTTCTAAAATGTCGTTTTCTGCACCCCGAAAGCAAAAGTTCTGGTGCATATAATAATATGAAAACGCTTTAATGCTTGGGTAGCGTGGTGATTAGGTTTTTATTAATTTAGCAGGGCAATTTTGCTCAGAGATGAGCCTGCTTTACCTCTGAGTGAGTGCGCGCAACTTTGCTCAGAGATGAGTCTCTTTTACTTCTGAGTGAGTGCGCGTAACTTTGTTCAGAGATAAGTCTCTTTTACTTCTGAGTGAGTGCCCGTAACTTTGCTCAGAGATGAGTCTCTTTTACTTCTGAGTGAGTGCGCGTAACTTTGTTCAGAGATAAGTCTCTTTTACTTCTGAGTGAGTGCCCGTAATTTCACCTCTGAGTGAATGACCATAATTTTTCCCAGAGATAAGTCTTTTTATTTTTGTGTGAGTGCTCATCTCCTTTACCTTTAAGTGATTAAAGGTAACTTTGCTCAGGGATGAGTTCGTTTTAGTTTGGAGTAGTGCTCGTAATTATTTTCAGAGATGAGGTCCCTTTACACTCTTAACTTCACTCCGAGATGAGTGTTCTATATTTCTGACTTATTGTTCGTGATTTTGCTTTGTAAAAATCCTTGTAAAACCTTTTTTTAAAGCGGTATATGGCGACTATTCAGACTTTTCTCTCCGAACAAGGCATGTACGAATATCCACGATAGGTAACGCGCTATACTATTTCTAGCAAGGGCCGGAATCTTCTCAATTCAGCGTTACTAAATATAGGGTGTCCATAAAGTCTCAACATTTTTTAAAACTGCTAAGTGAATTTATCGATATCATATATTGTTTTGCACCTCACAGATGTTTTAAATGAAGTAAAAATACTTAACAATTTAAGATTATTCATTGCTACGACAATTAAAATTTAACTAAAGTAACACAAATGAAATTTGAACAAATTTTCCACTTACCATGGCAATCTTAGTAGGTTTGTTGGCCACATCGAAATGTTTCTAGGGCCCAGCAATTGGCCATGGCTCACTGTTTGAGAACCGGTGATCTAGGGTTAATTCGGGTTAGGTTATTTCCCGGTATCGTTATCGGCTAAATGTAGGCCGATATTTCTAATATTCTGACCTGTTTTCAGTTATTTATCAACCAAACTAGCTCAACTAATTTGACTATTTTCGCTGCCAAATTTTTTCAGTGACATTTTTAATATTACATGGTAAATATAGAGAAATAATTCGTGAATTTTTTAATGTGTAAAATACACTCGAGTACACAACTCATGTATCAGTTTGATAGGAAATGTAGGCTAAATATTTATTTATTTTACTGCACATGGTGGCCCAATGATGCGCAATGCATTTGAATCATGATTTAACGCATCTGGATCACAAACATCAATTTTTTATTATCTGGAAGATCTCTTTTTCAAGCTGAAATATCGGAATATCGGCTTCTCGAAATATCGGCGTATCAGAATATTGGTATCGGCTCTTTGAAAAATATGTGTGTAGCGGTAACGTCGTATTTTAGTTGGTATCGGTATCGGCAATGGTATCAGTACATCTCTCAGACAGTGTAGAAGCGGCTCTCAGACGCCTTTGGCCTAGGTATATGAGCGTCGTATCAGACTGTCGGTGTCTCAGGTGTGAGATTTCGTGTTCTGAAAACCTCACAAGTAATTAATTCTAGGTAGGCGATGACGAGTAGGAAATTGCAAATTGATATTCCTCAATTAATATAGGCTTTTACAATTTACATATAAATGACTTCAGGGGGGTGTGAGTCGGACCCCTTTTAAAATGTTTAAAAAAAAAAGCATTTCTCTGTATTATACATGGAAATTTTAGGTTGCTTGAAATGCTTTTTAAACCATCAAGACTCATGGTAACTCATGTTTTCGGCCTCCGTCAGACCCGCTGTCTGCTATGGTTCAACTTGGCAATTAGAAATTTTATAACTACCCCCCCCCCCCCCCCTTCTTTTGAAAATTTTTGGGCAACGCCCCCTAGTGTCTCCTTGTACAGAGCCTTGTTCAGGGTGAAAACGAAAAAACGCGTCATAAAAATACCGAAATTTTTGAATTTTGTTCATGTTAAATATTTTGCGGATTCATGTCGGTATATTCAAAATTTTGAATTATTGTTTACTTCAATTCAGCTTGGATATTACGTCATAATTTGACAAGAGTCTTCGGTTCAAGCAAAATTCACATAAATTTATATTCTACAAAATTTTTATCATTTCAATTGCAAAAAAACAAATTATTTATTCAAATCTAAAAAGAATTTCAAATTCCAATAATGTGATTCCAATAATTCCGATCCTTTCAAAAATAAAAGCCTGTAATGTTAGTGAAACGCGCCCTAAAAATGCCAAAATATTTGAATTTCGTTCATTTCCTTTTTTGTAGTTTGTTGTAGAAATATTCTTCCATTCACTTATTTTTTTATTTTCATAAACTTGTCATTATTCGTAAGATTTCAAAGGCAAATTCCAACTTTTTCAGCAAGTGAACTCAATAACTCATGTATTTTTCGAATGTGATAAAACTGATTTTTGGATGATTTTGAAATTTTTTGAAAATTAAATTTTTTTGTTTTCATGCCTACGCGTTAGCTTCAAAAAAATCTAGCTTTTTTCCTTTTCAGCATTTCGAAATATTTTACGATTCTTGTATTACGTCACATTGGGTGAGGAAAGTGAACCGTATTGTTCGATCATAGGAAACAATCGAACTTCCGTATTTTTGCGAAAGACCAGCAATTGAGGCTTTTTGTCGCCGAAATGTTTTGCAAAATTATATTTTTCTGTGAAAATGTCATTATTTGCCGTCAAATTGGCGCGTTATGCGCCACGGGAGCATTGCACGGGACCGCATTTGCGTAAATGGATGACGTAGAAAGGTGCAATGTGCCGCGTTGGAGATTATTACTGATAAAGAAATTGAAAATTGAATTAAATTTTCGTTCAGAAGGCATTTAAATCCCAAAAATTTCCAGGCAATTTCCGATGAGCCGTGGAAATTATTTCTGAGAGTTATTCTAGTACAGTGGTCAGCAACCATAGGCCGGTTTTTGCCGTATACTTTTCAGGTTAAATACTTTGAAATATTTTTGCAGCGTTGACGGCAATTTTTATCATTCATTGTACCGGTCCGTAAGACAACGTTTACTGTCCATTTGAATACTCAAACATTTTCGTTACATCAGACGCAATTATATCAGGCGTTGTATGAAAAATAGAATTGATTGCCTGATTTTTTTTTATTCTGTGACAATTTTGTGTGAAGTGAAAGCGTCTGGTTACGGCGAAACAAGCTGAAGGTTGTAATAAATTAGCAGCGCGAGAGATTTGTTATTTATTGAAAGCCAACCCGCGACAAAATTTCAACATAGAGTAAGCAAAGCAAGAAAAATTAATCAAATTATTTACGACAAGATGGTTATCAAAATTAATTTTTTTGTATCATAAAAATTTGCCAGATATCGTTGTAAAGGGACTGGTGTTCCTTCTTTTGTGTGACAACTCAGCGAACTGATTGATTCGAAATAAAATATTTGTTTCTGAAATCACCAGGAATTCGGATATCATCATCCCTAGCGGTAAATTACTCCAACTGACAATAGGAATAAAGTATGTCTATTTAACCTTCACGTCTATACAGGCGATCACTGCTATCTTGTTGAACGCGAACTCGACCTATGGATCGTTTTTTATGTTGTTACTTATCAATCTTTAGATCGGTAAGTATGTTGATAGGTATTTGTCTGTCTGTCTGTCTGTCTGTCTGTCTGTCAGACGTACGCAATATCTCACGAAGGCGTGGTTGAATCTGCTCCAAATTTTGCATGTGCATTCATATTTCGGACCAGAAGCCTATTGATTTTGGATGAATTATGTCGTATAATTAGCGAGTTATTAATTAATTAGTGATGGGACACGCGGTGTCACTATAGAGTCATGAATCAAAACCGCAGTTTCGATCGATAAGTCTTCGGTCTCCGACCGATATTCTCGTTTTTGATCTTGTTGTATTTTGTTACCGTATCAAAAAATTGCTTTTCTCATCAACTACTGGACCAATTGCTTCGAAATTTTCATTGGTTTAAGATTGTATTTTTCGTTAAAAAGCTATTACTTTTATTTATTTCAAAAATTTCTGTAGGCTACAAAGTCTAAGGGATTCGTTTTTTTCATTTTTTATCAGCGATTACGTCATTAAAATTAAAAATTGCGCTCTTTATATTTACAGAAATAATTATACTTGATAGTGTAAGTTCAAAATGAAGATCCAGCTTACCATATTATGTGTTGCGCTTCTCATCTACTCTGCGATGGGATGCGAATACCATGAGAACTTGAAGGTAAGATAGTGGATTTTACTAGATCTGACATGAGCAAACTACTGCCCGCGGGCCAAGTCTGGCCTGTTGGGCAATTCAATCTTACCCGCCTGATGTTGCCACAACCAAACTAAACCCAAATTTTGAGCTTAAGAAATTTGTTTAGATCGCGATTGAATTGAGTTTTGGATCGAGTTTATAGTTTTCCATTTTCGTAAAACTGTAAATTGTGTTCATAAATTGTAACTTTTTACGTCACACTTACATGGCCCGCCAGTCCAGGTGGAAAATTTTTTGGCCGTACCTTGCCCGCCCCTGTTAGTAACTAGTAAGAGACACAAAGTGACCTATGGAACGTTTTGTTATTATGTTGTTACTTATCGATTTTAATTGGTAAGTATGTTGATAGGTATTTGTCTGTCGGTCTGTTAGATGCACGCGATATCTCACGAAAGCAAGATTGAATCTGATCCAGATTTTGCATGTGCATTCATCATATGTCGGACCAGAAGCCTATTGATTTTGGATGAATTATGTCGTAAAATTAGCGAGTTAATAATTAATTAGTGATGGGACACAAGGTGTCACTATGGAGTAAGAGCGATGTTTTGGGGATCCCCTAACTTTCGATCGATAAGTCTTCGGTCTCTGACCGATATTCTCGTTTTTCTTGTTGATATTTTCTCCTTGTTGTTATCGTATCAAAAATCGCTTTTCTCAATAACTACTAGATCAATTGAAATTTTCAGTGGTTAGATTGTATTTTTCGCTAAAATGCTATTGCATTTATTTATTACAAAACTTTCTGTGGGCTCTATTTTATTCATTTTTCATTTCGAAATTATGTGTGATGACCTCTTGAAAATTAATACAAGTTATTTGTAGCGGGACCCATTATTTGAAATGTAAAATAAACCATTTTCTGTATCACATATAGCAATCTTGGATCGCTTTTTAGACCCTAATGACTTCCAAAACCCACATTTTCCGGACCGTATCCGCTAGCTAATGCGGTCTAACTTAGTAATTAGAATTTCAGAAATTTACTTTCTGGTCCTACTGATATGCAAACCGCTGCTATTTTCAGAGAGGCTTGATGTTTTATGGTCATGCATCGGTGGTCGCTTTCCTTTATAAAATACTTGACCAATTTTCAGTGGATAAAGATCGTTGTAGCTGCAAGAAGGCTATACTTTTTATTTGTTCCTAAATTACCTATGAGATTTGTTATTCCATCCAAAATTTTACTCTTTTATTTCTGTTCATGAAAACATGGTAGTATCCACATATCTTTGTTGTTTATAGCGGCTGCGTCTTCAGAGAGAACGAGAAAACGCGCAAAGGTTGCGGGATCTGGCGAGTCAGAATCTACTTAGACAACAGGAGAGAGCGTACAAGGATGTCAGGCAATCGATTTATGGAGACGGATACGACCACTATGCATCGTCGTATGTTGGTAAGTAATTCTGTTCATGCTTGAGCGAGTTTGCCACACTTGAGCAAGTTTGCCATTCTTATTGGTGAGTAATTCTGTTACGCTCGAGCGAGTGTGTCACGCTTAAATGGTCCTTTGAATGGTCCCGTCACGCATGAACAAGTTCGTCGTGCTTGAATGAGTTTGTCACCCTTGAGCGATTATTCTAATTTTGGTACTCCCGTAGTATGTGTACCATGTTAGGGTTGGGCCATAATGTTATTCTTATTTTCCTTATTTTAGTTCTATTACGAGTTTGGGGACTGTATGTATTAGCCAGGTGTATATATTCCGTTTCTTTACACAACTTGATGTGAAGTAGGCGAGCAAAATTAGTTACCTACATATTGGTACACATACTTCTGGAGCGACATGTATTCTAATTTCTAAAATGGGTTTATTTTAATTCATGGCACCTCCTTGACGTGGTGACTATGTACTTGGAATATAATTGTTGTTTTATATAAGTCTGTTCAAAGCAAAGTCGCAAACTCTCATTCCAAATAAAAATAGCCTTGATAAAAGAGTTGGTGATACGCTGAAAGCTATACACTATACAGTGGGCATGTGCAAACTATGGCCCGCGGGCCAAATCCGGCTCATTATGTGATTCAATCTGGCCCGCCAGATGCTGCCACAACAAACTGAAACATCTATGTTGGTGTTTTAGCCAAAATAACTCAAGGAATTTGTGGAAATTGCGATTTAGTTTATTTTCGTCGCGAGGCTTATTGTTTTCCACTTTTGCAACTGTAAATATTGTGCATAAAATTTAACTTTTTACGTCACACTTACATGACCCGCAAGTCCAGTTAACACACTATTAGATGTCGATTAATCAAGATGTCTTTATTTCTGTATTTGCTAAATAGTCTTCTGTAATAGAAAAACAAAAAATCCAACAGTGGTTAGGGGGCGGGGTAATGTTCAAAATACGACGTAAGTACTTAAAATTGGCGTGGCACAATCATTTTTGCGTATGTTATTCTAATCCCACCTGACTACGTCATTCAAATATTACGTCACAGTAACGTACTAAGGCTCTCTTATATATACTAACTGTCATCCAAGAGGAACAGACGAAATCGAGCAAACTATTTCTCTCGTTTTCTCGTCGTGACGATCCCGATATGAGAGATATCGCTGGCGTTATCGTTGGCGAGATGCCATTTTGGGCGATCGTAGGTATAATTTATCAAGCTCTTTGACGTGATTGTGAGGTCGCAGTGACGTAATCTTTGAATGACGGAGTCAAGCGGGAGCTAGGAATAACATATGCAAAAATGGTGAACATGCGCCAAAATATTTACGTCCAACGCTCCAACTACTGCTAATTAGCGCCAGATATTATCAAAGTTTCAAATCTTATCTAGAGTCAGAACCTCCAGAAGGAAACAAGTGGTGTGGCGGAACGAATGAATATTACTGTCCAATTGACTCAACTTGCGTAGCATCTGCAGGTGGCGAGTACAGGTAAGTAAATCGTACAGTAAGGGTGTGCAACATATTTTGTCGGTGGTTCATAAAAAACTGGCTGCCATCGATTTGAACCCAAAAATAAGGACATCAAATAAACATAATAAGATAATAAAGAACGAAATGTAACAGACAAAATGTATCCATGCCAGTGCGACCCGTGTCTATTCATACTTTGCACTAGAAAGAATTTGCTCCAGCAGTTCTTTATTCTTAGAAACTATCTGTTCCATCTCACTTCCAAGTTCAATTTCACTTATGCCATGAATGCGCGTTGCAATCAATGAGGTTCTAATATCATTTTTAGCAAAGCAATCATTCGAATTGACCAATCTAAGTGCCTGGTATTAGAACCTCCATCTCTAAAATGAAGCAAAATATAAAAAACATGTCAAAATAAGGACGTTTTTTAGAAATAAGAACAATAAATTTTTCTAAGACAATGACCTTCAAAATAAGGACAAATCTTAGAAATAAGGACGTTATGGCAGCCCTGAATATGACCAACTTCAGACTAGAGATGTACCGATACCACTTTTGTCGCCGATACCGATACCGATCCGATACCAGCTAAAAACGCCGATACCGATACCGATACGCCGATACTACAAAAAGGCCGATATTACCGATATTCCGATACCGATACTATGCAGTTATTACTTAATTAGGTATGCTGTGTAGGGCAGACGGGTTAAAACAATGGTCTTTAAGCGTTGTTCATAGTACACATTATTTCAGATCGAAAAAAAAGATATATATATCACATAATATGAAATTAATGTTTGGTATCCATATGCTGTAACTGATTAGGATACATTGTACAGTAACGCTAGTAATCTCGGTGTTCAATTAGAAAACTCATAAGCCGGGATGTCCAATTTGAATTTAATGTTAATATCGCGAGCTTCGAATATCGTTATTCGTGTTTAAAAGAATATCGAATATCACCCACACATTCTAGCGCCGCCGTCCTACGTTCAAATTAAAAGCATTTTATTTAATTTAGTGGCTAATCGTAATCGTCGACGCAATAAGTCAAAGCGAACATGAAAGAATATCAATCAGCACCGACAAAAAGAAGGCCCACCTATAACCGTTGAGGATGTTTTTTTACTTCACTATTTTATAACATTTTACAATCGCTATCATATATTTTGAGACAGTCTAGGGCTAGGCGGTCAAGTCAATATATCTATAAAGAAATCGTGTAGTTGAGCAGAATTAAAGTTAATACCTGTGTAGTCGGATAATTGTGTCGTAATTTAGTTTATCGATGTCGACAGACTAAATGACACTTGTACCTGACGACAAGCAGTCGGAATTTATACCCGTGCCAAAAGTCCATGTGCCGTTAATAGGGACCCCAATTCCACTGTATGATGTAAAACTGGGCGCCTAGTTGCTTTTTGTTATGTGCTGTGTTGATATATTTCTTCATAAAAACTACGAGGTGTGGCTAAAAAGAAACGAGACTGACGCCACAGATTGCGCAACACGATTAACCATTGGTAATCAACACTTTTACAGTGTGGTGTAATATGTGTTCTTTGTTCAACAGCTTTTTTGACACAATATCGCAATTATTTTTGCTCTTTAGGAGCCATAGGTGAATGTGATTAATTGCTTGTTGAAAAAAAAATTGCCGTGCGAGATCTGATTGAGTTTTTTGGCGATAGGGGGTTCAATTGCAGAATGACGATTGAGCAATGAATTAACATTCAATTTTGTGTCAAACTTGGAAAAATGCATGTCAACTGGGCAACATTTAATCGTTGAGCTTTCTGCTCCTCAGTCAACAGCCTTGGTACCATTTTGGCACTCACCTTTCACAAGCCAAAAGTGTCAACCAAACTGGTGCGAACCGTTTTTTTTTGTCTTTTCCAACTTCGCAATGACGCGAATTGTTGAGCGACGGTCGCTGCGAATCAACTGCCTTTCACAACTGAACTCACAACTGATACCTTTTCGATGTTGGTATCAGTTGTGGAAGTGCAAGGCCTTCCTGACTTCGAATCATCCTCCACATCCTCCCTGCATCCCACAAATCGCTTGTGCCATTCAAAAACTCTTGTTCTGGACATGGAAGAATCTCCATAAACATCACAGAATTTCTTCAACGTCGCAGTCGCCGTTTTTCCAAGTTTGACACAAAATTTAATGTTAATTCATTGCTCAATCGTCATTCTGCAATTGAACCCCCTATCGCCAAAAAACTCAATCAGATCTCGCACGGCAATTTTTTTTTCAACAAGCAATTAATCACATTCACCTATGGCTCCTAAAGAGCAAAAATAATTGCGATATTGTGTCAAAAAAGCTGTTGAACAAAGAACACATATTACACCACACTGTAAAAGTGTTGATTACCAATGGTTAATCGTGTTGCGCAATCTGTGACGTCAGTCTCGTTTCTTTTTAGCCACACCTCGTATGTAATATTAAAAATGTCAATATAAAAATTTGACATCGAAAATAGCCAAATTAGGTGAGCTAGTTTAGCTGATTAATAGCTAAAAACACGTGAATCCTATTCTCTCGCAGGGGTGGGGACATGTATGGCTCATAGCTCACGATCTCTTCAGACAAAAATAAATTAAAAAGTAGTATTCCAACTTATCTTTTAAAACATTCTGGACCATATCAAAAAGGTAAATATATCGGTAATATCGGCCTTAATCTAACCGATACCGATACATGGCCGATACCGAAAAAATGGCCGATATCGCCGATACCGATACCCGATACCGATACATCGGTACATCTGTTCAGACATCTAGTTGGGACACACGTAAAGAATAGAACGCGGCTTTCAATCAGCCTTACAGTAATAACGGCATCGGGCAAAACGGCAAAAAGAGCAAAAAATATTATGTATTTTCATCAATGTGGGTGACTTTTTGAACATAAACTATCGGATCAGGATTTTAATTTGATGGGGAAAATTCTGAGTGCTCGCCGGCGCATCTCTGATTATCCTGCGTAGTTTCGCAGATTCGAATCCTACATGGAGATAGGTATGAGCGAGATGATTGCTCCTCGCCAGGTGCAGTTTCAATTATTTAAATCAGCCTTACAGTAATAAAGGCATCGGGCAAAACGGCGAAGAGAGCAAAAAAATATTATCTATTTCCACCAATGTGGGTGACTTTTTGAACATAAACTATCGGATTAGGATTTTAGTTTGATGGGGAAAATTCTGAGTGCTTGCCGCCGCATCTGTGATTATCCTGCGGAGTTACGCAGATTCGAATCCTACATGGAGATAGTTATGAGCGAGATGATTGCTGGACTCCTCGTCAATTGCAGTTTCAAGTATTTCAATCAGCCTTACAGTAATAACGGCATCGGGCAAAACGGCAAAAAGAGCAAAAATATTATGTATTTTCACCAATGTGGGTGACTTTTTGAACATAAACTATCGGATTAGGATTTTAGTTTGATGGGGAAAATTCTGAGTGCTTGCCGCCGCATCTGTGATTATCCTGCGGAGTTACGCAGATTCGAATCCTACATGGAGATAGTTATGAGCGAGATGATTGCTGGACTCCTCGTCAATTGCAGTTTCAAGTATTTCAATCAGCCTTACAGTAATAAAGGCATCGGGCAAATCGGCGAAAAGAGCGAAAAATATTCTGTATTTCCACCAATGTGGGTGACGTTTTGAACATAAACAATCGGATTAGGATTTTAGTTTGATGGGGAAAATTCTGAGTGTTTACAAAAACCACACTGACTTTTATTGAAATAATTTGGTTAATATCGCTTCAAACTATGACTAAGAAATCAGTTCAAAAATAATTTATTCCACCGCTCGCTACAACATCACAACAGGCATTCGTTTGGCGCACTTGTTTGGGCGCTATCCGATTTTGTGATGTACTTTTGGACAAAAGCCTAGCTAGCCCAAAATTTATTACTTGAGGAGAGGGCAATTTTTTGTACAATGACATAATATGACTCTCACTCGTGCCTTTTTCTCCGAACAAGGTAGATAAGTGTAGCCACTGATATATAATAAAATCATATTGAATTTCGTACTTCGCTGTCAAAGTTATCAAAGGCATATAAACGGGCATTTTCACATATCGCGTTTGGTCCATTCGGCGAGGTGGCCCCTCGGCCCCACTTCAATTTCTGTTTGTGTATCAATAGACTCGATTAAACATCATGAGGATGTGAGACATTTTATTTATCAAAAAATTACATTTTTAAAATTCGGATTATTGTGGTGAAAAAAATCCGTGTAGGCTATTTCCAGTCATTGCATTGCAATTCCAGATTTATCCATTTGCAGTAAATTATTGAAGGGTGCAAGACATGGTATTTGTTTCGACTTTTGTTTCTCTATTCCGTGGGTTCTAAAACTTTTGGTGTTATGGAGCCCGTGAAAAGGCCGACTAATATTAACGGAGCCCCACATTAAATTTATAAAAATAAAATCGTGTTGTTACTCACCGATTACTGTTCGAAAGTAAATTAAAATGATTTTACTTAATGACTCGGATGTAATTGCTGTTTCGTATTCAACTAATATTAATAAGTAAACGAATAGCTTGCGAAATCCTTAGAACTGGGGCTTCGTATGGAGCACTTTAAGAAATCGTGATATAAGGCGCTTTGCGCAAGTTATGTTCTTCCCTCTAGATCTAGAATATGTTGCAATTGGCCTGGGTTCTATTTTTTGAGGTCAGCCGTTCACAAGAAGGACGTAAGCAGGGGTATCGAATTTAATTTACCTAAGAACCACTGAAGGCGAGGTCTAGTTGTGTCCGGCCGCATCAGGTTTTCCACAAAAAAGCTTAGTTCAAAAATTCAAATCTTCTTAAATTTCTTTATAAATGACAAAATTATAATCAAATGAAATAATAACTGAAGATATCAATGAATTAGTAATTAGTGATTGTGACGTCAAAAACCGGGAACTCATAACTTATATTAAATGTATTAAAACATTAATAATGCAAACTGAGCTAGGTGGCCCAGTAATTTGGCGGGAGCCACAAACTCTTGTCATGCGGGCCGCAATTGGCCCCCGGGCCGCGAGTTTGAGACACCTGGCGTAAAGCGTCAAATAATCAAAAAATATCTAAAAATATTTTTTGTTGTTTTCAAAAATGAAATACAAAGAAAACAGTGCAATTTTTCTAAATATTTCAGGGCAGTCTTGCCCAACCTTTATTGGTATTGCGAGTTACGAGAAAATGGCGTGGATGTTGCTGCTCTAGTGATTACAGTACATTATTCTAATTTTTTGTAAAATAATTTAAACTTTTTACTGCAGATGCCGATTTGCCAGCCAAGTACAAGTCACCAACGACCACAGCTCCCACGATCACAGTTCTCACGATCACGGCTCTCATGGAAGCACTCGCGTGCACGTACCTTATGTACCGGTAAGTGATTTTCATAGATATGAAGTCATGTTCGATTTTTAAGCGTGTTTCATGTGTGCAACCCGAATAAGATTTTGTACCAGGGCTTTTCAACCTTTTTATTATTGTGCCCGCAATGACAATTGGGCGCTCCGGAAGTATTCGTATCAAGATGACGCACATCCTGAACAACCTAACCTGATACCCATACTATGTTCAGGTTGTGCGCCATCTTGGTACGAATACTTCGGGAAAACCGACAATTGCACAAAAAACATCTATAAATGTAAGAAAGTCAAACATTTCTCGGTTCGGAGTTAGGAGTACGTTTGCCACCACATCTATGATTATCCTGCGTAGTTTCGCAGATTCAAATCTTACATGGAGATAGTTATGAGCGAGTTGATTGCTGGACTCTTCGCCGTCGTGGGGTGGGGTTCACGTAATCGCTGGTCGGTTACGACTTCCTCTACCATCAAGTTCATGCTTCCGAAAACAAATAATTGGCTAACAAATTCCATACCCGAAATCGACAGATAACCGGACGAAAGGCGTGGTTCGCCTTGTAAATCGTATCCAATTTCGTTGTTGTACACTCCAACAATATCAATCATATAAAAATTTTACAGAAGATAAAATGAATAAAATACAATGACCGCCTTGCTATTGGATTTCTCTCACAACTTTTAAATGATAAGCGTATTCTTTACGCCAGGGGTCGCTCGCGGGCCAAAATTAAGGTTTGCAAGATTCGGCGGGTCGTACATTTTTTTTAGAAAGTTAAAAACCGAACAGACGGCCGATGAATCACGATTTTTTTCACACAGATCAGAAGTTGAAATTTTAAATTTCAAGCAACGTCCTTCTAATAGTCTTACTTAAAGAATTTATTTAATGTAACACTTTTTGTTGCATCAAGCTTGACACGTTTTCTTTGTAATGTTCATTTTCAACAATAATTGTTCGCATGCATATGTAATTCTAAATATCGATAATTTTTTTTTCGCATTGTTTATCAAATTTGGATAGAGTTTTCTTTCAAGAAGATACTTTTTTATAAAAATCAAGCAGTGATATATTCCTCGAATAGAGATTTATTTACTCTTTGCATTGCATCTCAAAAAATTTTATTTGAATATATTTTTGGCGTCATTGAACCCTTTGCACTTAGCATCAACCTTTCAGCGTTTTGTTGCCATTTGTCTAGTTATATTTAAGTTATAGGCTCATCAAACGAGTAGTAGTGAATTATACACTTGTTAGGTTATATTATAGTTTAGTCTACTCGTGTCTCACAATAAATTCTGTTACGTAAAGAATATAATCGTCAAAAGTCAAAACAGTCGTTTTGTTACTATAATTCAGTGAAGCGTCGCGGGTCGGAATATTTTACTCCGCGGGCCGTAGGCTACGGCCCCTACCAAACGCTTAACACGTTGCACCAACCGCCGAGCCCACATTTAACAATTTGACATATTTTGCAGCGACGTAGGCTTACGTATCCAATACGTACCAGCGGAGTTTCAAGCACTAGAACCTACTATCCGAGTACTTCGGGCAGTTCTAGATATCCCAGTACCGGAGGGAGAAGATACCCTATCAGCGGCAACAGAGTATACTACCCAAAATACACTCGCCGTACAGTGTATACGTGTCCTGAAGGAACAGAGAGATTCAATACCTCGGCATCGAGTTTCAGATGCGATGGTAAGTCGGAGTTATACATCTGGTGCCACGTGTCACAACCAAACTGAAATCGAATGTTTTAGCTAGAAAAAATATTTGATTGCAATTAAGTTTTATTTTGGCACGAGGCTTATTGTTTTCCACCTTTGATTTGTAACACTATGAATATAGTTCATAAAATTAACTTTTCACGTCACACTTACATGGCCCGCCAGTCTAAGTGGGCAAAAGTTTTGGCCCCTGGTTCAAAAATCTTTTTCACCCCTGTTCTACAGCGTCTTTGCGCTAGTGGATTCATATATATATAATGCAAGGTGGCTACTTTGTTTATTCAATCTTTATTGAATCCTTGACTAGTAGTATGTCCGAGTTGCACTTCCATGTTTGTAAAGTTCAAGTAGCTTATAAGTGGATAACTGTTGTAGTATTAATAATGCAGTATATTAGTAGTTGTCTTACAGCAAATACTAAGCAAACTTCTTCTTCAAGAAAGACATTCTTACGTTTGGGAAACGTTTATAGCGGGAGTAAAGATGACTATTCTACAGAGTGACCCAGAAAAAACAGAAACCATAGCATTTGAATCATATTCTAGACTGGAGAGAACATAACTTTTATGCGAAGCATCCTAGATTACTGCTGAACCTTTTGGGTTCAATCCAACACAACCCGAAGTCAAATGTTAAATGAGTTTTCTTCCTTTTAATTGAAGTATTTAAGAAATCAATTTTGTTTTGTTTTTTTGGAAGGGAGGGCACTTTGTATTGAAAGGTAAATAAAATTATATTTATATTTTTAGATATTGACGAATGCATCACTGATGAGAACAAATGCGAAGGTGGATGCAAAAACGTTCTCGGAACTTTTCACTGCACGTGTGATGCCGGATTTCATCTCGAAGAAAAGTATAAATGCGTAGGTGGGTGTCTATGAAGTTTCAGGGGTGGGCAGTAGTTACTTTTCCGAGATGGCCAGTTACAAATAATAGACTTGGTTACTGTACCGGAGGTTAAAACGGTATATGAAAAACTATAAATAAAAAACAGTCCATTCACAAAAGAGAGTCCAACAGCTAGGCCGATGTTTATACACTAATAAGAAGCACAGTGTAACAACAATCGGGGCCATTATGACGTTTTTTTCATCGATATTTTCAACGGAAATTTATTACCATGAAAATTTAAGCAGGCACATATGGCCCGGATGAATTTTGATGGGCCAAATTTGGCCCGCGGGATGTAATTTGCGTATCTCTGTTCTATTTCCTGCAGGGGTCGAAGTTAGGCATGTGTTCAATGGAGTCGTATATTTTAAGTTCGACATTCGGAGAATAATTTCCACTGAGTTGGACCCAAAAAGCATTAGGAGAGAGTGTTGCTTAAATATATGGACATGAAGTAGGAATGCAATCTGCCACAGTAGTCCACTGGTACCGTACTAGAGCGGGGTTCTAGGAAATTTTGCCGTAGGAAATCTCGCCGCAGAAAATTTCGCCGCATAGGAAAAATCGCCTCAAGAGCATTTGCTGTAAAGCAAGTATTTGGGATAAAAACAGTTGGATTTTTGAAGTCCCTTTTTCATATTTTAACGCTATAAATCTAACTGTTTTTAACAGAAATACTTGTTTTACAGAAAAATACTTTTGCGGCAATTTTTTATGCTATCACGAATACTTGTTTTTCGGAAAAATTTCCTGCGGAGAATTTTCCGGACACGCTAGACTAGAGCGGACTACCAAAAATAAATATTTATAAATAGCAAATAACATGATTAACAACAACGTAATAACAAAACGATTCATATATCCATTTCATGTCCAATATGCGGGGCATTGGAGGCTAGTTTAAAATGTTTTCGCTGAAGTGTTATTTTAAATTTATTGAAATTTAAATTCTGAATTACCCAGAGCCGTGATTGCAGACATTCTATAATGATATAAAAAGTCAAAAATTTTCAAGAAACCCAGAAAATATTTTAGGCGGTTTAAAACTGGATTGGCATGTTCTCGCTGAAGTAATATTTAAAATTTCTCGGAGCCGGATTCTAAATTGCCCAGCGTCGCAATTGCCACTGTCAATGGCAATATAAAAAGTCAAGAATTTATTTGAAGTAACCCAAAAAGCATTATAAGTAGGGCTTCGAGTCCTAGTTATGCATGTTCTCACTGAAGTTGATGTCGTTTTTTCAAATTTCCTGTTATTTAAATTCGGAGTGTAAATTCTGGATTCTCAGGGCCAGCAGTCCGATTTCGATAATTTCAATGCTAATAATAACAAGACAGCAATGCTCAAATATATGGACATGTTAACTAGAGCGAAACAGTCTTTTGACACTACCGGTACATTTAAAAAATTTCTAAGTTTCGCGTAGCAGGAATTTATAGAATCAAACCGGACAGACCAGTGTTCCCATGGTTAAAATAAGCGAAATTTTGGACGAAATATCATATTTTACACGAAATTTAGAAATAAATAAAAGTAATAGCCTTCTTGCAAAAAAATCAATCTTTAACCACTGAAAATTTCAAAGCAATTAGTCCAGTATTCGAAGAGAAAAGCGATTTTTTAATGATAATGATGACGAACAAAAACAACAACACAATATTGAAACGATCGTTATGTTACCTAACGTGTCCAAAAAGTCAAAATCTTTAAAGAAATCCAAATCAAATGTATTTAAATTTTCCAGAGTTCGAAGGTGGCGTCAAATTTTTTTTAGGACCAGGAGTGAAGAGTTGGGGGTCAGAGTTCAATTTTTGTTTTTAATCCGGATCGATCGAAAGTTTTCTTCGACTTCTATCCCTGATTATAAGATTTGCTTATAGTGGTTAAAAAAGCTGTTGTCGCTAGAAAACTTTTACTTTTATTTGTTTGCTAAATTATTTAAAAAATCTAATATTTCATCTAAAATTCCGATGTTTTATTCTTTATTCACGTGAACACGTTTTTATCGGCGCGGCGGTGTGGCTCAACGGGCTAAGCGTTAGGAATACGCTCGCCACCGCACCTCTAATTACTCTGCGTGGGTTCGCAGGTTCGAATCCCATGCAGGGATGGTTATGTGCGAGAGGATTGCTGGACTCCTCGCCGTCGTTGGGTGGTTCACGTAACCGCTGGTCGGTTACGGCTTCCTCCACCACCAAGTCCATGCTTCCGAAAAACAAACAATACAGTAAAAACTAATCCCATATCCGACTTGGGATGGTAACCGGACGAGAGGCCGTGGTTCGCCATATGGATAAGCCGTCTTATCGGCTTTCCTCTCCCCCGGGATAAATATGTAAATCCAATCCAATATGTAAATCCAATCCAATCACAGTGAGACGACTGTCTTCCGTTTTGATTTTGAAAACTCCTGCTACGCAAAGGTTATTTGATATCGTTAACACACTGTAGAATTGCTCGTAGGAAAATAATTTACTCTCATTCAGAGGTAAAAGAGGGAAATCACAGTGGAGTGACAAGAGCAACAAAAATTTTGAAAAATTATAATTGTAAATAAAAAAGGATCTTTAGTGGGAATACCCCAACAAAAAACATTGCAAACGCTTAAAATATAAAAATTTGTAATTAATTAAATTTGTAACAGTTAGGGTTAGAAATGCAGACTGTGCTGGAATGTCAAATTCCAAAACCATCTCTGAATAACGAGAATATCGGTCAGAGACCGAAGACTTATCGATCGAAAGTTAGGGGATCCCCCAAAACAGCGCTCTCACTCCATAGTGACACCTTGTGTCCCATCAATATAAGATGAATGCACATGCAAAATCTGGAGCAGATTCAATCTCGCTTTCGTGAGATATCGCGTGCATCTAACAGACAAACAGACATACAGACAGACAAATACCTATCAACATACTTACAGATTAAAATCGATAAGAAACGATTAAAATCGATAAGTAATTATTGGGGTGTTCTCTCAAATCTCACAATTTGCAATTAGTGGTGGCTTTTTACAAAAAATACATAAAAAAACATCCTATGAGATTAAATACTATTTTCGTTGCCAACAGAGAACCTCACGAAAAAATTCAATTCTTATTTCATTAAAAAATTATGTTTTTTCAGACACCGATGAGTGCGAAAGAAATGTATGCCAGCAGAAATGCATCAATACCCCGGGCAGTTATGATTGCGAATGCAACGAAGGATATGAGACTGGAAGACGTTACGGCTTGTGCATAGGTAGTATTCTAATCAGACTCATTAGGATAATAATCGATAACCATGTATGATTGCACCAGAGGGGTCTGTGGCTACTTTATAAGCAAGGTTTGTCCTTATTATTGGCTTATTTTCAGCTTGCGTCCTTATTTTTGGCTTGCGTGTCCTTATTTTGTCCTATTTGGACTTCATAAAGAAAGCTTTGTGTTTTTCGTCTTATCGCCAAAGTTTTACTGTGGCATCATAAAAGCAACACAATCTTATTTGGAACACAAAGAAGCAAGGCACAGATAGGCATGAGGTATTAGTTAGTGTGGCGATCCTTAGGTTTTGTCGTGGTGGTTATTTTAGCCTAAATTTAAAAATGAGCAAACGTAGGAACGTTTTTCGTGAATACGGAAAAGAATTCAAAGTTAAACAAAGCTTGAAGGGTGAGTGCTTCGCACACTGTGACGTCTGTAATTGTGACATCAACCTGGAGCCCATAAGAAAGCCATCTATTTCTGCTCACAATGCAGAAATTTTTCCAGTCGTCCTTATTTTGGGTTCCAGATCGATGGAATCCCTGTTTATAAGGCTAGATGGCACAAGTGAGCGTCGCATCACGTCATTATATGAAAAAATGCTGAGTAAAATGTTCAGCACTGAAAGTTGAGTAAGATTCATACGAAGGCGCTGTGGTGTGGCTCATCGTGCTAAGCGTGATGGGTTCGCAGGTTCGAATTCCATGTCAGTGTCACTTTGTGTTTTTTTTTAAAGTGCCTTCAGTTTGACTCGCTTTCTCTCAACACTGGTTATTAGTCAAATCAGTCAATGACTCGAATGTCCCCAATACACCGCCATTTTATTACTCCCGAAGTATGTGAACCAAAATGGTGGACACCGGAACGTAGTATGTGTACCAGGTTAGGGTTAGGCCATAATTTTATGTACAAATACTACGGGAGTCACTTGGCGAGTCCCCGAACTCGTAATAGAACTAAAATATGAAAAAAATTGGAATAAAATCATGGCCTATCCCTAACCTGGTACACATACTACGTTCTGGTGTCCGCCATCTTGGTTCACATACTTAGGGAGTGCCGCTATTTTGAATTTAACTTCTACTAATCGTGGTTTGAAATTACAGACATCGACGAATGCACAGTCCAGGAACCATGCAATGAAAGTCAAATTTGCACAAATCTTTGGGGACGTTATGAGTGCGACGATCCGGAAGAGTGCCCGGAAGATTACCAAAGGTCAAAGGATGGTGAAATCAATGCGTAAGTTATTGAATTTCTTATCTAGGGGCCAATAATGGACACGAAATGTACATATGGATCCAGTGGCGCAGCTAAGGGGTTCGGGGTCAATACAACCCCACCTCGCCCTTTCGGAAATTTTGAAGAATGAAAAAGTCACTTTTAACGCGTGCGATTGCATTTTTTTAAATTCTCGATTGATTCGTTTTGTTAAATGTTAGTCAATTTATTTTTATTCTGCGGTTGAAATCCTATCCTATTTGGGTTTGGATATAGGATAGGATTTCTATATTTATCCCGGGGCAGAGGAAAGACGATAATACGGCTTAATCATACGATGAACTCTCGTCCTTAGTCAGTTATTTGTTTTGGATGTGGGGACTTAATGGTGGAGTAAAGCGTAACCGGCCAACGGATACGTGAGCCACCGGGAAGGAGAAATTCTCTCGCACATAATTCACCCCACAGAGGATTTTAACCTGTGAACGCAAGCAGGGGTAATCAGAAGGGCGGTGGCGAGCGTATTACTAAAGTTCATCACAATGCGCCACACCGTCGAGCAAAATATTAACCAAATTAAATGTAGCCTGACATCCATCATTTGCCATCTCAAGATAAATTTTAATTATCTAATACATTTACTAACCTGAATTTCATTTCAGAAAATGCATCCTTGTTAACACCTCCCTCGCCAATGCAAAGACGCCACATTCAATACAGTTCAAAAAAATGGCGGTGCCGGCACTCGCAAGCCGTAACAGAGAACTGGGTACGATGAAGTTTTCAGCTGCCACGGTTACCTCTTATGACGGTTCAGTGGTATATAGACATCAGTATTCCGCTCAGCTAGTTAACGGGAACTCTGACTTCAGGTAAGGTGTTATATTTTTAATTCATTTTTTCAAAGTTAACGCGCAGTATAGAAATATGTAACTGGCGCGGCGGTGTGGCTCAACGGGCTAAGCGTTAGGAATACGCTCGCCACCGCACCTCTAATTACTCTGCTTGGGTTCGCAGGTTCGAATCCCATGCAGGGATGGTTATGTGCGAGAGGATTGCTGGACTCCTCGCCGTCGTTGGGTGGTTCACGTAACCGCTGGTCGGTTACGGCTTCCTCCACCACCAAGTCCATGCTTCCGAAAACAAACAATATAACTAATTCCATACCCGACTTGGAATGGTAACCGGACGAGAGGCCGGGGTTCGCCATATGGATAAGCCGTCTTATCGGCTTTCCTCTCCCCGGGATAAATATGTAAATCCTATCCTATCTGCCCCACTGGTCTGAGTTAGGGTAGAAAAACATTGTGGGTTGTATAAAATACGATCAGGGCCGAATCATAATCTTCAAAGGCCCTAAGCCCTGAGGACCCAATGTAACTAGTGTTCAATGTTGTTCGAATTGAATAAGTTAGTTTCAATATTCATTACTGATTTTGATGTAGTCGTCATACCTACAAACAGTGGTGGGATTCAGCCGGTTCGCACCGGTTCTACATAATCGTCTCACGGAATTTTGTGAGATCAGTGAACCGGTTAGCAATACTAGTTACTGTCAATGACTTTTTGTAACAGAACCGGGTGAAAAATATGACTTTTGTGATGGAATTGGCTGACAAATAAATTGAATCTCACCACCGCCTATAAACGATTATAACAAGGTTTAGGACGGTACTTGAGAAAAAAATAAGCAGAATTTATTCCAACCGGGCCAATTTTGAGGTCTGAATTGCCTGAACAACTCGAATTATTTAATTATATACTGAGGCACTATTGAAAACTTGATTAATAAAATTTCTGTGCTGCTCACTTTTCTTTGGTGCCCAAAGGATGTGCTTTTTTGCCTAATGGATAAAACTACCCTGAGTGGGCCCGAGCTACAGGAGAAAAATACCAACAAATTCTGAGTAGTTGCCACAACGATACGTAATTATTTATCGATCTTAAGATCGATAAGTATGTTGATAGGTATTTGTCCGTCTTTCTGTCTGTCTGTTTATTGGTTTGTCTGTCGGATGAACGCGATATCTCAAGAAGGCGAGGTTAAATCTGCTCCAAATTTTGCATGTACATTCATAATATCTCGGACCAGAAGAATTGATTTTGAATGAATTATGTAGTATAATTAGCGAGTTATTAATTAATTAGTGATGGGACACGCGGTGTCACTATAGAGTCATGAATCCAAACCGTAGTTTCGATCGATAAGTCTTCGGTCTCCGGCCGATATTCTCGTTTATATTGTTAGCTGTTTTTTTTTTTCACAACCAAATTTCGGCTAAAATGACTTTGTACATGTGACACCGACGAATTAAAAAATCCCGCTGCCGACTGCGGGAAGTTTATAAATACGAATCCAATAATATAAACACGCCATACTCCGGGTTCATATCCATGGGTCAAACACTCACCTTAAAGCAGTGGCTCGTGCCGTTTGAACAGGGGCGCAAAGACTGCAAAAAAGTATTCATCATAAATAGTTTCAATAAAATAATTTCAAATTGGGAATAACTAAAACTCGTCTTTTTACTCAAATAATAACGCACAAGTACCTCAATTCAATAAGAGTCATTATAAATTGCCAAACAACTATCAAGGAGGCGCATTTTTAGACTTTGCCATGGCCGCCATTTTTTGTAGATACGCCACTGTTCAGTAGTGAGTGATATATATTTATTCAAAGACCAGATTCGGCAAATTTAATTGTTAATGATAAGAAAGTCTGTGATTTCTGACCAGTGCGATGTCACAATATCCCAATATTTTTCGATTTATAACTTTAATTAGGTATATTGGAAACCATATGCCTACAACCGTCACCTCACCTCACAATATTTCGGTCATTCGGTCAAGGAATACCGTATTTTACGAACCATAAGGAAGGTACTTAAATCCCCTTTTCATCAAAAATCGATCGTGTGCCTTGTGAGCCGAAGCCGATATGTCTAATGTATGGATCAAGTAGTGTTTTTGCTTCATTTCTTACACCCAAACCAGTACCGGTATCATTGTTTCATGAACAAACCGTTGTTTTATTTATTCATTTTTTTTAATGAAATACAGTAAACAATAGATTATAATATTTAATAATAATCAGTAGATTCCAAGTTGTAAAATTTCAATTTTTGGTGCTCCCGAAGTATGTGCACTAAGATGGCGCACAACCTAGAAATAATATGTGTACCAGATTAGGGTTATCAGGTTGTGCGCCATCTTGGTTCACATACTTCTAAAGCGACTATTTTTTTTTAATTACATATCTGAACCTTGGGTGTCGCTGCTCGACAACCATCTTTGGTTCCTCGCGACTCCCCTTTTCCCAGTAAAACTGTAAATATCATTTTCTCGTAATTTGTGCTCAATTAATTTTTTTTACTGCTTTTAAAAATTGATGCTCCGTAGTATTTGTGCCAAGATGGCGCCCAACCTGAACATAATATGTGTACCAAGTCGGGGTTGGCAGGTTGTGCGCCACCTTTGTACGAATACTACGTGATCGCCGAAAAAAGAAACTTGACTTGATAATAAACATAAACCATTGAGTTTTGTTTAATGAGCTCTGTACGGTAACCCGGTTCCCTGGGTGAGCATTATACATGGACAAAATTCAAATCTAAAAAAATTATTGACAGTGCACCTTATGGTCAGTAAAATAAGGTGCAATCGTAGTTCTTTACATATTAATTGCTGCTTGTATGAAGAATTATTTAGACTGTAAAAAAAAATGGTACTCCTGTACAATGTTCCCTCTAATTTTTGTAGTATGTGTGCGCAGAAATTTTGGTGTGTGCGCACTTTTTTGGAAATGACTAATATTTGTGCAAAAACCAATGAAGAAATTTTTGGCGTTCTAACCGGTAATAAGTGGGCCAACAACAAACTTTCTCAACCTGCCAACCAGGCACATTGTTACATTACATCGAAATACGTCTGTGCGCAGTAAATATATGCGTGTGCGCAGCCTCTGAAAGCTGTGTGCGCGCGCACACGCGCACACCTTAGAGGGAACACTGCTCCTGTAGTATGCAAACCAAGATGCCAAACACCAAACGTAGTAGGTGTACCAGTTTATGGTTAGGCCATGATTTTATTCCAATTCTCCTTATTGTAGTTTTATCACGAGTTCGGAGACTAGCAAGAGACTCCCCGTAGTATTTGTACCCTAAAATTGTAGCCTATTCTAACCTGGTACACATACTACGTTCCGGTGTCGCGTTCCGGTGTCCACCATCTTGCTTTGCATACTTCAGGAGTACAATTATATATATTTTCAACTTTTTCAGCATTAAACGCATAGAGAGACAATGGTATCGGGTGTGAGGTTCTTACAAATCGGAAAAGCAATGACAGCAGACGTTCGTCTTGAAATGGATATTGATTACTGACGTCATAACTCCCGTACCTACTCCTACAATCCCTACTCAAGGTATGGCCGACCCGGAATTGTTACCTCATACCAGAAAATTGTGATCACGGTTATTCCACAGAGTGACAAATAGACTGACGAATAAAAATTTAGAAAGGTTGTCAAAGAACTTTGGACAAAATTCGTTAGCTCCAAGAAGAGCTTATTTTGTCCGTCGATTTGTATTATTCATAGTGTTATCAAGTCTTTGTAACTGCCACATAAGCCGTTTCATTGACTTTCCTCTCAAGGAGGATTCATGTGAAAGTCTCTATCTTCATTTCCCAATTCCGTGCCACCTTATAACAATCACCCGTATATCTAGTTCATACATTTGAAACAACTAGTTGACTATCCCCACACCCGACATTAACTGTTAATTAGGGCGTGGCATTTCGATTCGAATAGTAAATTAGTCGAATCGGTTCAGAGCGTAATTGCGAATAGCCGCCAATGTTGTTTGTTTTCTTTCCGCCAATGGTCGAGGTGAATTTCCCCAATTTTTGCAATGTAATTCTGACATATACCTATTTTCTGTATTGATTAATTCATAAAAAAAAACGTGTTTTTTATTGTGTGTGAACGCTCAGCAATCTGTCTGAGTGATGTATTCTATGTTTTCAGTAGTTCATGTGTTGACAAGACCAATTACAATAAAAAAGTCGCATACAATTACTTATCTCTCATTGACTGCCAAGTATTCGAGATTCGATTCGATTCTGAAATCATCAGGTATTCGAAATGCCCAGCCATACTGATAAATAAATCCCAATTTTTTTAATTGATCTCAAATTTGAGATCCGACCCCCCATCGCTTTTTAACAAATGTAACACTTTTTATAAACTAGCCTGTTAGAATTTGATTATTTCGATTTAAAACATCACGTAAACGTAGAAACTTCTTTCATTTTGAATAAATAATTGTACATAGTTGAAATGTTTGTCTATATTTTCAATTCTGAGTTTTTAGGTCACCGGTTTTCTGACATGTTGTTCAGGCGACGACAAATTAACAGGGAGTGAAACTCTCGACTAGGGTAGCGCTAACCCTCTGGACTTGTCATCAACTAACCGCTAATGAGAAAAGTCTTGTCATCAACCAACCGCTAATGAAAAAAGTCAGTGCGCGACTTGACTCAACTCGCTACTGGGGTTTTGGGGACTTCTAAGCAACCCTACATTTTGAAAAAGTGTTGTTGTTCTTCTCCAATATTTAGCCGTTCATCGTGTAGGACAGGGTCGTTCAACCCGTAGCCCGCGGGTCAGGTCTGGCCCGCAGAAGCATTTCCAGTGGCCCACGCTGTATTTTTTGCGATTAAATAAAAAAAATGAGCAAAACTATTTTTCGAGTGATGTAGTATATAAAGATTTGATACAAACGATAAGTTTATTTTTCTGAAATGCGCTCTGCCAGCCCTTTTAAACGAGCCGTGAGTGCCATTTTGAATCGAAACCAACTGGGAGGAGATATCGATGAATAAAGGTGC